CAAACACATTATGAAGGAAAATTATGTTTTTGTAATAATGTGGGTCTTACTGGTGTAGTTCTGGGTTTTATTTCTATTTCATATCCAATTATAAAAACCAGCCCTTCCCTTTTTCAAACTAATTTTCAGGTGAACCCATTATCTTAACTACTTTCACATCTTAACCATGTGAAACTGAAATAACAGATTGTACAGGACTGGCCCATTAAAATCTTCCACTGGACAGTAAAACTGCACCAGAGCACAACTACAGCAGGTTTGTTATTCATAAAGATCTTTTCCAATATTTCTCATGATGCTAATATTAGCCGTCTTGATGGGTGCTATGCCTTTGTTCCAACAGCCCAAAAATCTAAGGCCCCATTCGTCCAAACAATGTCCCAGTGGACTGAAAGCCAGTTTCTCCAACAACCCGTTGGTCTAAAGTCCCATTTCTCCAAAAATAGTCACCAATCCCAGGTGTTTTGACCGACCCTTTATGTGGTTTCCCAGCAGCGTTTGATCCACTGAACTCGGATGTTGTTCACTGACCTGTTTTTGCTTTTCCAGCAACTTTTGCTTCACCAAACATGGATGTTTTAAGACAAAACCGGACCTTTTCCTGATCACAATCAAGTGGTCTTTGTGCCTGAACCTACTCACCACAGCATTGTTGACAAATGTAATGCATCCATGGTTTACATAAACATGCAACGCAAACATATTTCCTGGTGACTGTGTTGTCTAACTGCAGGGAGTGCAGTGCATCTTCAGAGAAACAGGATTTCGGAGCAATAGGAGTTTTTTGGGGGGATAACGGATAACTTCCACACTACAAAATGAGGGAGAGGTTAGACTTGTAATTTGCTTTGTCAGTAAGGCACAACCAAAAAAAATTACCAAGGCACACTGCTTTGCAAAAAATAAAAGCCCTTAATGTATGTTTCTACTCAGTCTTCACCAGGGCATATAAGAACAAGTGGCAGCTCACAGGTATACCGAGGCTGATGTCAGGCAGTCAGAGTAGCCCTGGGTAACTGTCACAGGTGCAATCAATGAAGTGAGTGTGAACACATTCAGATCAACCCCAACAAAACACCACTGTGTTTAAGACCAGCGAATTCATCACAAGCAATCAATACCATCACATATTCACACATTTTCATACAAAAACATCCATATGAAATAAATGTATACATAAATATATCATGGTGCATGAGACGGTTCTCAAGACCACTTTTTGAGGGTCTCAGACTCAATCGTATTCTCGCTCAGTCTTTTCCGGATGTCACAAAAGAAGGACTCTAAATTTTATTTCAAGACTGATCAAGACCACAACTACAGGGATATCATTAAACTGCCTGTGAAAAAAAGAGTCTGGAATAAAGACTGTTTAAGTTGATTTCATCCTCTTAGTGTTGGTTTGTTTTTGTTTGTGAGTCTTCATGGTTTTTCTTTGAAATTTTTGATGAGAATGTGGATCTTTCAGATCAATTTGAGGAGTCCACGTTCCAAATTTTATCATACGTGTGTCATTCAATGTGGGAAGTTTTGGACTTGTTCCAGTCTTAATACTGGCGTTTGTCATGACTGGATCTCGGTGTAGGTGGTCTTGACTACAACACTGCCAAGTAGTTAAAAAACAAAAACAAAAACAAAACAAAAAACAGCAGAAATTTCCCTTACTTTCTGTCTTCTAGAATAAATAAACAGTAGTATGTTACCAATAGTTGTTTCTTAAAATCAGTGGTAAACTGGGGACCTAAGACCTCTATAATATAATATAAAAAGGATTTTCTGCTTAAATTTCTGTGCTCAGAGATTTCACAAGAGAAGGTTACACTCCACCAACCCTCCGAGTGTGTATGATGTGTCCCTTGTGTCTCTGCAGCAGCATTTTTACTACATGAATAGTTAAAGCTGTTGTCTGTGCGGCACTCTCGATGCCTTGAGGAAGTTATGCAGAAGAAAAAAACAGTAAAGAAGAGACAAGCTCAGCTCTGCCCATCAAGCCTGAATGTGTCCTGACGATTACCTAACTCCTAAAGAACGGGGGAAAGGTTAAATATCGCTGCCAGGAGAAAGCGTTTGATACGTCTCACCTTGATCAGAAAAATAACAACTCTCAAGACGCTGTCAGAGACATCAAAGCCGGCCAAGTCTCAGCAGAGCCTCCAGGATTAACCCTCTATTGTCTCACAGATCTGGCCTCAGCTTACATGCTATGACATCACTGTTTTTTGTTTCTGGCATACTCAAACTAAAATATACTTTTCTAATATGTCTAGTCTATTAGTTGGATGATCAGAGGTCAAACTCAGCTTTACATCAGCACAGTAAAATCCTGTTTCCCCCCAGAGAACCCGAACAAACTTCCCTCACTTCTTGAGTATGAGAGCTATGCAAGAGGAAGCCAGCGTTTGGCATCACAGCACTGACAGATGATGCAGAGCAGGTTGGTCCAGATACGCAGACAGCCAGAGCTCATCACATCACGTATAAGACACCATGTATACGTGAGAGGCATGCTGAGAACGAGAGCTGAGGAAACAAGAACTGCACTCTGAAACTGATACAGATTCATTTTGTCTCATTTTGTGTGTTCACAGTTTATAACAACAACACATCCAGTAAAATCTACTCTTCTAAATGTACTGTTGCCTCATTATTACTTTTACTGTCATCTTAGAGGTGAGCAAGACGGTTCCTGGTTTACACCCCGGGGTGGGGGAGCCCTTTTGTGTGGAGTTTGCATGTTCTCCCTGTGTCAGCGTGGGTTTCCTCCAGGTGCTCCAGCTTCCTCCCACAGTCCAAAAGGCCCTGACACACCAAGCCAACGGTCAGCCGTCGACCAAAGTTGGGCCGTCGGTGAGCGTCTGTCACCCTAGTTTTTGCTGTGTGTCCCACACCATCGGCACTTTGGCGTCTGTGGCTTTTCGGCCAATTGAGCATGTTGAATCGGTGGCAGAGCTTGTCGGTGAGAGAGATCACTCTGATTGGCTGTTCAGGTTTTATTTCCTCGCCCCTGTAGCAAGTGAATCTGCCTGTAGTGAAACCGGGGCTAACCGGTGCTTCCTCCTCAGGCTCCACTTCACTCAGCTGCCCCACAGACCCGCTGCTTCTTCCCACTTTAACCTGAATAACAAACTGGAGCTAGCTGGGAGCTTGCAGAGCATTAGCCGCAGCATGACCGGAGGGAAGCACAGCCAGTTAGCCTCCGCTAGCCTCCAAGAAAGCCCCAGCTCTCCATTTGGATCCGAACGGAGAGCTGGGGCTAGCTGGGAGTGGCTAGCAGAGCGTTAGCCGCAGCATGACCAGGGGGAAGCACAGCCAGCCAGCCTCTGCTAGCCTCCGAGCAAGCCCTGGCTCTATGTTTGGATCCAACCGGAGCACCGAGCCCTGGTTTGTTATTCAGGTTACAGTGGGAAGAAGCAGCGTGTTTATCAAGCAGCTGAGTGAAGTGGAGCCTGCGGAGGAAACACAAGGACAGTCTGGATGTAATAGTCCGTGGAGGTGCTGCGGTGCTCGGCTGCACAGATAGGAAACCCCTCGGCTGACAGGATGTACCACTCTCTCACTCCGCTCTCTCTCACGCAGGAGCAGAACGTACGTGCTACTTGGCAGTAGGATATAGTCCATGTAGTGTGTTCAAATGCAACTGACACAGGGCGACGTGAGGCGACATAGACGACACAACAGTTGGCTTTCATTGCCGCTAGTTCTTTGATGTCGGTTTGGTGTGTCTGCACCTAGAAACATGCAGGTTAATTGGTGACTCTAAATTGTCTGTAGGTGTGAATGTGAGTGTGAATGGTTGTCTGTCTCTATGTGTCAGCCCTGTGATAGTCTGATGACCTGTCCAGGGTGTACCCTGCCTCTCACCCAGTGTCAGCTGGGATAGGCTCCAGCCGCCCCATGACCATCAACAGTATAAGTGGTTAAGGAAAATGAATGTGTGAATGTAATCTCTGAGATGTTTTTTGTTTGTTTGATTGATTAAATGTTAAATTATTTGCCCCAGACTTAACTTTATCACAACCTTTACATGTCACAAAACCTAAATAACACATTTTGTTAAAGATTTGGAAAAGTCTTTGCCAAAAAGCATGTAGCCAAGGCTCTAACAGGTGCGTTCAAGACGTTCAGTAAGGATTTTGAATTTGAAACACTTCACACTGGGAAAAAGATCAAATGAAATCTGCTTTGTTTAAAGTATTCTTTGATTGAAAGTTAAAAGACAAAAACATACTCAGGGCATTTTCATATTGGGTATGATTGATTTGTATTGCGTCTAAGTATGCTCTGTTCTTTCAACATTGGATTGTGTTGTTAATGAACTAACTGTCTAACTAGCGTCAAGATAGTCTTATGGTTTCCCTTTTTGAATGACGAATACAGACTACCGCCATCTGCTGGTGTGGAGAGGTATCCTTTCATGCAGGTGCAGAACGTGCAAGCTGGTTGGCAAACAGTTTGAGTCTTTGCAGTGTGTTTTATGTGCTACTTTTTGGCCGAGACACAACAACGTGAGGTGAGGAAGAAGGCAGCTTTCATCACCGCTAATTCTCTGAAGACCTTTGATGTGTCTGGGCCTTTAGACAGCTAGAAGGTAACCCAAGGTGGGGAGGTATATTTGTTTCCAGGAAGTCCTCAGTGAAATGATTTGCAGCAAATAGGCTGATTCACATCTGTTAGTGTTTACCACAATAATCATCTTTCTCTTTTTGGTGATGTGGTCAGTCCCTGCAGACATGATGAGGGAGACAGGATAATTCAGATTGTTTGGAGTGACCTTGATGCCAAACGATTTTCCTTTGCTCCTTAGTTTACACCTCAAAGGGTCAAGTTTTGCATCAATAGAGTATCGATGTTCCACCATCCTCAGTTTTCACTACCTACAGTTCAGCAGATCAGAGCATTCATCCAAAAGCCAAACTGACTTTTCTCCTGTTAAGAACAAATGAGCTCTAAAATCCACTTCTACAGCACTCATTGAAGGTCAGAGTTCAAGGGTCCTTTTTTTATTTTTCTTCTTCAGGTCTTTGTTTTCCTGAAATTTTCTATGAAAGGAAAGGCCAGAGTGTGCAATAACAACATTCCCTTGAACACATTCTTTCAGCAAGTATCGACCGGCACACCAAAAAACACACAGAACAAGTCAGGGGCTGGTGTTTGTCAGGAAGATAAGCGGTGTTGAAACAAGTCGATCATCTTGATGGGATAATGTCTCAGGATTACATCCACGAGATGTTCAGCGAGTAGTCGTGTAATTATGAAATATTTATCTCTTCCACAGACGTTAATTTCGTGCCAGGAAAACGAGCCGGTCCATAGGGACATGTTAAGTAATTACAGCTCCAAGAGTTTCATTCAAGAGCTCATTTAATCTATGTATTCTTATCTGTGTCTACATTTCTCTCCGTACACTAACAAATCATTTTCAAATGAATAAAGTATTGTGCTTTTCTTTTCTTTGACTCTGTGAATGTGAGTTTCCTGCAGCGATCCATCAAACACAGCAGCGCAGGGCTGTCCATGGAAATGTTCCCTCTCTCAAACCGGAGAAGGAGTGTGGATTTTGGCACTGACTGGTGGCTAAGAGGTTGGGTGTGGTCAAAGGTCAGAGGTCACAAGGTGAGAAAGACAGGCCGGGGCTGACACCAAACTTTGCCATTAGCTTATGGAATTTGTGAGTGTTGAAGGATGAGAGAGAGTTTGTCTTTCATCTTCCTCTGTTCCCCTTTTGCTCCATATTTGCTGTCAGATGATTAAATCAAACAGAGCGATGGATGTATCTGTGGGTTATGAAAGCAGGGAGGAGGTGACGGATTCTTCCACGTGCCTCCTGACTTCAGCAGTTTATCTAATTCTGAAAGACAGTTTACACAGTAATCATTTAAACAATGTATGTGAACTTCACACAACATAGATACAAAGAAAAAAACATTCGACTAACATATTTCTGTTTCCGAGTACTGTAAAGTGTTTCCTGACTGCATTTAAATGACCTTCAATAATTCATTACAATTATTTATCAATTATTTATTATGAAGCCTATTTCAGAAATTGTATTGTCTAAATTTGTTAAACAGCTCCCGGGCAGGTAGAAGTTTGTTTGCCAGCAAAGGGCTGAAAGGTTACACCTGTATGTTTCACCATAATGCCTTATTGCCAACGCTCTTGCCAGATCGACCAACCTGGCCTCCATGACATGATTGTACCGACGTTCAGATGCTCTGTTTGCCTCTTTCTGCAGGTGCAATGAGAAAAAGGCATTGACGGGAAATTAACTCTACACAGTGTATGCTTAGCTTTAGTTCCAAAGAAGATTACAGTTTCTAAGGAGATGATAAGTAATGGCTGATGGAAAGTAGAGATATGGAACAATGGACAGTGGTTGAATCAATGGCGTCAATGCACATGTACACTTGCAGATTTTAAGGGTGCATATGTGAAGTCCAGAGTGCTGATAAATTATTCAAACCCACAATTTATCAAGTCTGAAACGAGCCTACATTACAGACTTAACTAAATTTGTTTATAAGGTTCTCTACTGGCCATGAGATTCAGTATAGTTTTCATGGTTGAAGTTTGGGTAAGGGACTAGGGAATGAATAAAGTCCCCATAAGGACAGCAAGACAACAGTGTGTTTGTGTGTGTGGTGAAGGGAGGAGATACAGAGAGGAGACGGAGTGAAAGCAGAGAAGGACGGGAGTTAAAGAGCAATGATCTTAGATGGATCTGTAAACATCACACTCTCCTCACCACCCGGCCTGCTGCACACACACACACACACACACACACACACACACACACACCCTGCCTGGGTTAAACAGCTTGGCCTGGGACCAGATGCAGCTACTCACTGATCTGTGGGAGGGCTGATGAAGCATGTACAGTACAGCCGGCTGTTACAGACAGACAAGGCCTTGCATGGCCTGGCCCCTGCATATACAGTGGAGATGTTGAGCCCCTGCTCCACCAGGCGGCACATTGTTCCTCTGATCGAGGCCTCCTGTCTATTCCCCGTTCATATTTTAAACTGTGGAGCAGCCGTCCCTCTTTCATCAGCAGAGCTGAATCTGTGATTTGCTTTATGAAAACTCATATCTATAGGTTAGCCATTCTATAAAATCTGTCTGTATGCCATTCATTTTATTTATGTCGATCATATAACTCTTGTCAATGTACCGTCCAAATGCATATCTATATGTCAGTGTTTGTTAGCCTGGTTCCAGACCATAGACCCCGCTGAGTAGGCTTGCATCTCTGGTCTGGCATACTTCAATGAATTTGTGATTTATCTCGTCCAAACGATGGACGGACCAATGAACGCCGGGCGTCTAGCGATTAGCCAATCAGCGCCACGCTGATGTCAAGCTGTACGCCGGTGGGTAACTGGTGAGGATAGCAACAATGGCGACCCCTACAGATCCTTCAGACCACATTAACAATGCCATCGAGGTATTTCGCCACTACTCGCGTTAATGGAGGACCAAATTAAGGAAGCTGCTAAACTGGATTTAACGGCGATGCAGCTGGGCGTGCACGACGACGGAGACATTTTAAACGGGCAATGCTCGCTTGTTTTCGACACCCCCCAGGCATGGATACTAATGACGTCAGATTCTGGGTGAGTCGTTGATCTCTACTGATTGACATTGTCACTGCGACCTCGTCACATAGCGACGTTTGGTCATGGACTCTCCACGTCAACATGACGTCCAAGGTACCCTGGGTGTGTTGGTTGTTGGCGTTCTGGGATGCCGTGTCAACTTCAGCCTGTTACATGCATTGTCTGTTTTCAAAATACACTTCTGTTTTCACAGGAAATGAACAGTTTGCATACAGTCTCTTTCAAAATAAAAGCAATACATCGGTACAACATCGCAAATGACACTTGTCAACAACGAACATGCATACGCATGGTTCCGATTAGGAAAAAAGAACACGGTTTTACGGGAACCAAACACCGGCCTCACTGGTGAAAGTCGGTGTTTGTTGGACACATCCACCAGCCCTCCCACCCACCCACATTTGTTATCGTCCCGCAATGTTTCCCTCTGATGCTGCTGGGTGCCATTAAACAACAGCGGGACAGTGAAAGGACGGCTTTTTTTTTTTGTCTGTGTCTGAAACCAGACGTCACTGACAAAGCGCTGGATTTGAACAATTTTGGAGTGAGACTGGATTGAAATATACACTTGATTTTTGATGTGTGTTTCCTACCTACATGTGAAGTGCTTTGTAACTGTATGTTTTAAAAAGCACTATATAAATAAATACATGATAACAAGTATAATAATAATTATTATTATTATTTGTCTGTGGTGTTTATCTGAGCTCATTTGTGTTTGTTTGAGTCCAAACCAAAGATCGACTACCTCCATTTCTCTGAACCCTCTGGTCTGCTTTAGAGTGTTTATTACAGTTTCCATTCATGGTGCTTTCACTTCCTTATCAAAGTGCAGGTGTTTATGACTGTTGCCAGGAAACAATTGTTGAGCACATTCATGGATGGAGCCAGATGAGTAAGACTGAAGGAAGAGGGTCTGTCTGTGTGTCTGTGTGTCTGTGCAGGCTGCAAAGAAGTGAACAACGAACAACCCTCTTCCCTCAGTGGAAAACAATATCGTGTGGGATCTAGTTAAATGTTCTTTTCTGCTCAAACATCTGTGACAAAGTTTAGCTTTCGTTTTAACAATGCCAGAATGCCACCAATGATGTTGTCACGACATGAACTCGTGACGGTCTTTGTTGCTGTGGAAATGTGTTCTGCACACAGTTCACTGCAGCAGATCACCTGGTTCAGGTGGACTGATTTTAATTATTTATACAACCACAGGCATATGTACACGGTCCGCGTACTTCGCGGCCATTCGTTTTTCGTTTCGAAATAACAAATTGAAACACAGAAAACCAACCATAATCTGTTTTTTGTTTTGAAATGACCAAACGAAAAAGGAAAAAAAGATCCGTCTCCCGTTTTTTATGTGATAATAAAGAAAAGAAAAAACGGAAAACGAATCGTTATCCATTATCCGATTTAATTTGGGGATTTAAAAAAAACCCGTGGGAAACTCCTTCCTCTATTTTTTGTTCGTTTCTTCTCTGTGACCAGTAAGTTGCATTCATGTGGTCTATGAGTTGTGCATACAGAGCATGTACATTTCCTGTAACTACTAGAATATTGCTTTATCTGACATGTTATGCTAATAAATAACTCTAACTAATCTAGGTCACTCTACATGGACAGCAACTAACGGCATACCACATTACACATTACATGTCCGCAGAAAATGATATGCAATACGTGAATTAATAAAAAGTTTTATTACCATGGACCACGTCAATTTCAGTCAAGTCGGCAACTCCTGTTCCAAAATTATCTCCGAGTTGTTTTTCCGACATGAGTGGGTGTTCATGTTTTTTTTCCGGAAAGTCATTTTTCCAATTATTCCGACACCACATGAATGCAACTTACTGGTCACAGAGAAGAAACGAACAAAAAATAGAGAAAGGAGTTTCCCACAGGGTTTTTTTAAATTCCCAAATTAAATCAGATAACGAATACTGGATAACGATTCGTTTTCCATTTTTCTTTTCTTTATTATCACATAAAAAACGGGAGACGGATCTTTTTTTTCCTTTTTTGTTTGGTCATTTCAAAACAAAAAACGGATAATGGTTGGTTTTCTGTGTTCCAATTTGTTATTTCGAAACGAAAAACGAATGGCCGTGAAGTACGCAGACCTGCACACACTTCGTTCAGTAACCCAGTGTTTCCATACATTAACTTATTCAGTCTTATTTCATCGTAAAGTTGCACACAGTGCATTCACCCAGCCCCTTATTGCTCCACTGGCCTAGTTGAGCTATAACTCTAGCTCGACTCGATCATTCATGTAAATGTACAGAGTGTCACAGTAGGCTGGTGGCCAGCAGCAGTGCTGAGACTCACCTGTGTAACAGCAGCAACAGAAAGTTTGCTGATCCAGTGAGGAGTCGGGGCTGTCCAGTGCTACAGAGCTGGGGGTTTGCACTGGCTGGCTGGTTACATTTTCCTTATTTGGGTTGCTTTGCCGTGTAGGCAGTTGTTGCCAATAGTGGAATAGCAACTTTCTCTGCAGGATTCTCCAACACTGAATGTGGCTTTTACCATCTGAGGGGATGTAGGCCTACATGCACACCTGCATAGCAGAACAGCAGAACAGACCTGACCTGTGATTGGCTAAAGTCTCCCATTATGGGCTAGATTTCCTAAAGCCTGAAAACAGAGCCAAGAGGAGGTGCAGAGGTCTAGTTTTCTGTCAGACCCCTTGAATTACAATATGAGCAAAGTTTATAAACTGCCTACCCCAGTTTTAATGGCACTGCTTCTGACTGGCTTGGATTGTAATAATATACTATTACAGATTAAAACAGTTGCAGTATTTTCAGTGCAACACCAGGCCAATATTAATGACTTTTTTATAAGGTTATTAGCTCAGCATCATCTCAAAGAGGAAACTAATGCTGTTTATTACAGCTGAGCTGCGCACAGTCACCAGTGAGGGGCACGAAAATTTTGTTGACATTTTAAAAAAAAAGGAAATGCTGTTATTAATGTTAGTATGACACTGATGATAAAGTATGCACAGTTCAGCCTGAGGATCCATGTTCCAGTTTGTGTATGCTCTGGCATGCCTTTTCTTTTTTTTTTTTTTTTGGAAGACCACTCAGTATTAAAGTTCTTTTGGAGAGGTGACCTTTTTTGGCTTGATTCAGTCAGATGTTTGAGTTTATCAAATAAGTGTCTGCAGGAAATTCATCAACTAAAGGTTTGGTAACTGTGTCAAGAGTTAAGAGTGTCTTCAATTGACGTCAGT